CTTTCTTTCTTGTCTTGTATTAAGTTAGTCACTAAACTAGATGTGTTTTTGGAAAACATTTTAAAAAAAATCTAGTTTTAATGAAGAAAGTAGTCTTTTCAAAAAATGATACTGGGATAATCTGTATTCATATGTAAAAAATTGAACCTTGACTTTTGCCTTACGATTTGCAAAAATTAAATGGCTCATAGATTCAATGTAAGAGAGAAAATTGTAAGAAAAGTTCTAAAAGAAAATGTAGAAAAACATTTGTGATCTTGAGATAGGCAAAAATTTCTTAGATATGACACAGAAACACAAGTAGATTAAAATTGATGAGAAAATTCATAAATTGGACTTGACAAAAATTAAACACTTTTACTATTAAGAAGACACTATTAGGAAAACTTACAAACTACTGGCAGAAAATATTTACAGACATGTTCAGTAGTGTACTTGTGTACAGTATATAAAAACATCCAATTATAAAAATGGGTAGAAGATTTGAATAGTGGTACTTTGCCAGTGGTACTATGTTTGAATATGTGAATGGCAAATAAGAACATGAAAATATCCTCAATAACATGTTCATTAGAGGAGTGCAAATTAGAACCACATAGCGATACATACCCAACAGAATGACTAAGATCAAAAAGACTGAACATTTCAAACCCTGATGAAGATGGGTAGAAATCACAACCCCCATTTCCGTCTTGGGGTTCTGCCTTACCCAGAAGTGGAATCTTGTTTTGATCTTTAGTTCCCTGGGCTTCCATCCTTTTTTTTGTTCAGGCATCTTCTTACATTACTCCTTATGCTCCATGTTGCAACAGTGTATGTCTACAGGAATATTACTTAAAAGGTATCTTTTGTGTTATGTGTATATTCAAAAAGTAAAATTTGAGTACCTACTCTATGCCAAGTACTGTGCTAAAGCACCAGGAGATAGATATTTAAAAGACTCTCATGGGAAAAGTTTATTAAAGGGTTTTCTAACTTTGCTGGTGAGATTAAGTATACTCTTTCTGCCAGATTTCTTGAGAATAGTATTCTACAAACTTTACCCAGAATTAATCATCTGAAGTGCTCTCTTTAAGAAAAGCTAATCTCAAGCTTTCCTTCTTTGTGCCTTTCCCTCAGCTTACTTGATGAGGCCCAGTAGTCCTCATTTTGATATCCTTCCCTCTTAAGGGGAGAAATGTTGGTTTGATATTTCACTGGCCATTGAACCCTAATCCTCCCCAAGTTATTTTCGGACGTGCTGCTTTAGTGAGAGCATCTAGTCATTCACTCCACAGGTATGTATCAAGTACATGAGATAGTTTTTGAGCCAACTAGACTTAGTGATTGACTGGACTGACGCTATTAGGAATAGCTATGAGTAAGACAAACTAGTTCTTTCCCTGGAGTGCAATAAAATATTGTGGACACAATAAAAAAACCAAAACAATTGCAGCCCTCATGTATTGCTGATTGGAACGTAAAATGATTATAAGCACTACACTTTGAAGAACTGTTAAATTGTTAGAGCTAAATAGACATAGAATATAAAACGTATGTCTACACAAAAACCTGTATATGAGTGTTTATAGCTGCATTATTCACAAATATCAGAAAAATGGAAACAACCTAAGTGTCCACCAGCAGGTGAATAGGTAAACAAAATGTATTTCCATACACAGGACTGTGGCTTAGCAGTAAAAAGAGAAAATGATTACCTGCTGAAAGATACAACTATATAGATGAACCTCAGAAATGCTAAGTGGAAGAAGTCACACACAAAACACTATATATTATATGTGATCCACTTATGGGAAATTTCCAGGTTAGGCAAAACTATATATAGAGAGAGGAGAAAAACAGTTTGCTGAGTTGAGGGTGGAAATGACATCTACAGACTTCTTGGTGTTGCCAGCCCTGTGGGTTCTTAGCAGAAGAATCAGGCACAGCATCTTGGGAACAAGGCTTTTTATTCTTATGCCTAAACATAAGGAAGGCATGTGTGGAGAGAGAAATTTCCAAGCTGACTCAAAGGAAAAAGGTCCACAGCTTTATGGCTTCTGTGTGGTAAGCATGGACCTAGTCTTGATGTTACTGAATGTAGAGATGGAGTCTCAGTTGCACTCTTGCTCACCTTCATCATGGGTCTTTGTGGAACAGTGTTTTATTAAGTTAAGTCTCCACCTGAGGGTGTGATTTTTACTATGCTAATTAGGCAAAGGTTACTATAGGATATTCTAGTAGCCATTTTAGCATGCATGTGCCCTTACCATATGGTGAATGCCACTAATATTTTAAGGCAAGCTAAGCTATTTAAGTTTGTGTATGATTTGTAGTTAGTTTTAGGGTGCCAAAGGAAGGTTGAGTAATAGTTTACTTAATGACCTTGGTTTTTCTCAGCTTTTGGTTTTTCAGTATTCTGAAAAAAGACCACATAATCTTTGACAATTGAACTGATTCTCTTTCTACCCATCCTTTGTGGCAGTTTTTTGACTCCCAGAGCCCAGATGGCTATTCTAGCAGTCTCATTGGGATTGGCGGCGAAGGAAGCATTATAAAATGTGATTGTGGTAATACTTTGAACAACTGTATGAATTTACTAAGGCTTATCGGGACAGTTCACTAAAATGAGTGAATTTTATGATATATATGTTATTTTTCATTTAAAACTATAACTTAGGAATTTAAAAATAATTCCAGAGCTTATTAAAAAAATTCGTGATTCTACATGATAATCTAAAAATTACATGGGTTCTTTCTTATGATAGAATGATAAGGAAATAACTGTATAAGGGTTGGTGGAATTAGAAAATTAGCATTTTGTAGCCATCTAGACTCAAAGGTTGGATGAATCAAGAATCACTAATTGATGTTAAATCTAGATAGAAATTTTGATCCGGAGTAGGATATTTACATAGTCTAAAAGTATTCCTGCACAGAATGCTTGCTGTTACAAGGAGCAATAGTAGAGAAATCAGACATCTTCTTGATCAGGTGATGAAAAAAACCTCACTAATGAGGGTTGAGTGGATATCATGTGTCTCTACTGGTGGCACTTCATCTTGAGAAAGATACCTGTATAACCTAATTAAGCCATGAAAAAACATCAGTCAAAATCTAGGTGATAAAAAAGGTAGATAGTAGATGGTTGTATTAAAAATATTAATATAATAAGAGACAAGAGTTGTAGAGATGTTCCAAAGAGACAGAACATCGAAATATACCTAACCTAGTCTGGATCCTGAACTGAAGAGAGAGAAAAATAAGCTGTAAAGGCCACTATTGGTCACTTGACAAAACTGGAATGAGTACAATAGATTAAAAAAAATTTCAAAGTTTATAGTTAAACTTATGTAAGAAAATAACTCAAAGGACTGGGGGTATAGCTCAAGTGGTAGAGTACCTGTCTACCAAGCACAAGGCTCTGAGTTCAAACCCCAGTACCACCAAAAAACCTCCCAAAACACCTCCCCATAAAAACCCAAACCAAAACAACAAAACAAAACAATTTTTTTTGGTGGTACCAAGGTTTGAACTCAGGACTTCATACTTGCTAGACAGCTACCACTTGAACCACATCACCAGCCCTGTTTTGTGTTGGATATTTTTTGAGATAGGGTCTTACAAAGTATTTGCCCGGGCTGGCTTTGAACTGTGATACCCCTGTACATTGCCTTTTGAGTAGCTAGGATTATAGGCATGAGCAACTAGACCCCTGCCCAAACCCAATTCTTAGTATTGGGGATTGAACCCAGAGCCTCACACATGCTAGGCAAGTGTTTTACCACTGAGCTACATTCCCAGCCTCAAACTTTTTTTTTTTTTTTGTGGCACTGGAGTTTGAACTCAGGGCCTCACGCTTGCAAGGCAGGCACTCTTGCTGCTTGAGACACTCCTCCAGCCCTTTTTTTTGTGATGGGTTTTTTCAAGATAGAGTCTTGGGAACTATTTGCCCAGGGCTGGCTTCGATCTGTGATCTTCCTGAGAAGCTAGGATTATAGGTATGAGCCACTGGCTCTGAGCTAGCCCAATTCTTAAGAAATATATACTAGAGGCAGGTGCTGTTGGCTCATCCCTGTAATCCTAGGTACTTTGGAGGCTGAGATTGGAAGGATTAAGGTTCGAGGCCAGCCTGGTCCAAAAAGTTAGTAAGACCCTATTTTAACAGAAAGAAGCTGGTTATAATGGCACATGCCTGTCATTTCATAGACTGTGAGGTAGTGTAAAATAGGGGGATGGGGTCCAGTTTCGCCTAGGCAAAAAGTGATACCCTATTTGAAAAAAACAGGACAAAAAGGGCTGGAGACATGGTTCAAGCAGTAAAGCACTTTCCTAGCAAGCACAGAGTCCTGAGTTCAAACTAGTACTGTCAAAAGAAAGAAAAGAAAAAGAAATACACATTGGAGAGTTTAGGGACAAAGAGCTATGATATATATAATTCATCCTTTAATTTTAGAAGAATTTATATTCATATGTGTAGAGAAAATGGCCCTCTGTACACAAGAAAAGGATAAAGCCAGTAGGGCAAAATCCAAACAATAGGGAACAGGTAAATACTATAGAGTGTGCTTGGTATTATTTTTGTAACTTTTTGGTAAGTTAGAAATTATCTCCAAATAGTTAACAATTTCTTTGGGAAAATAAGTGCTCATCTTAAGGATTAAAGTTTTCTGTTTTTATTTTCTAGTTTGTATGTGGCTAATGATGATGGTTATTCATTTTGGTTTTCAGTTACTTTTTTTCTTTTTTATTAGCAGATATTACCTGTACAACATAATGAGTTTCATTGTGACATTTTCATTCATGCATATGTTTTTTTCAGATTTTTTGAAATGATGTAAGCTTTTCACCAAGTTGAGAGAGGAGAGGCAGGCATGCATATTTATGGTCAGGTTTAAGTTTGAGGTTCTCAGTTTGATGAGACTGAATACTAAAAGTGGAATAAGCCTTCATCTTAATAATTATAATAAAAATACAATGATGTAGTTTTGCTCATTGAAGGATTTGTTTCTTTTTTTCAGGATCTACAAAATGGGAGATAATTTGGATGAATTTATCAAAGAGCAAAAAGCCAAACTGGCCAAAGACAAAGCAGAATTGGAAAGTGATCCACCTTACATGGAAATGAAGGTCAAGTTAATAATTTCCTTCCAACATGTTTAATTAAAAGTGTTTCTGAGGATTCCACCTGTGTAAATGTAAAACATCTTCTACGAGTGAGCATCTTCTGTTTCATACACTTTAGTTTGGTTATGCTGTCATTCTGACTCTTGAAGGAGTCTGATTCCAGATAAGATGTTAGTGATTTTTTCAGCACAGTTTTTCTTTTGTGGTGATGTGTATCTCACAATACTCTTCTCTCTTGTTGGAGTTTCAATGAATAATCAATTATGTGCTTCATAAGATGATTAGGAAGCAGTTCTTACATAAACAACTTCCAGAATATAAACTGAACACATATAAAAGCAGGTTCTCCTATTCCATGTGTAAAGTTAGATTATAAATGGATCAAACTTTTTTGATATCTACATTAGTAAATTAATTAGGGTAGTTTATTTTATACTACTTGCTTTTTAGAACATAGATTTGTTAAAACAATTGTTTCTGAAAGCAGTGTCTAGAAAGTTTTCTTAAAGTTTTTTTCATTTTGGTAAAAGAGTGATCCATTTAGCAAATACTGAGATTGTGCTAGGCTCTGAGAATACTGCACCAGTCTAACAGATGTGTCATCATCTCATGGGCTCATTGCATGTAATAAGATATAGCATGTAGATTGGTCTGTACCGAACAACTGTACCATATGTTCAATGTTCAGTCTATATGAAATAATCATATATATTGGTTTGCTTAAGTCATTTCTGGCTTACCTGTTATTTCAGTGTCTTATCTGGCTTAGCATTTCTCCGGGGCAAAGACGTCTAAGTTGAGATGATAATTTGGACACTAATTATAAAGTAATTTTACTTCCATAATTAATGTTTGTTGAGTAATTATGGACAGTCTTAAAAGGGTATATTTCACTGTAATCTATAAGTACTGTTACTGTGATTTTTCCAGATGAGTAAGGTGAGAGATAGGGAGGCTAAATACTGAGATGAAGGTGATAGAGCTGGTAGAACTAGGCTTTGATCCTTCTCTGATCCTGACTCCTGGCTTGTTCTCTTAGGCCATCACACTAGGTTGTCTTCCTTTTGTAGTAATCTGCCAGGTACAAGGAGTTATGCCAAGAACTTTATGTGTATTGTTTCATTTAGTCATAATATCCATGTGAAGTAGAGGGCTTTTTGTTTGTTTTACAGATCAGGAAAGTAAGGCTCAAATGGGTTAAATAATTTGTCCAGGTAGACACAGGTGGATTAAGTATTGGAACCTTTATGTAGTTCCAAAGACTATGCTCTTACTTTCTAGTACTGAGGGGTAGTATATAGTCTTTGGAGTTCATAGTTAAAATACGTAATAGCTTTAAATACTGATTTGTTATAATCTCTCATGTTAAATAGTGTATAAATAATATCTTAAATGTCAGTTCAATAATAACTTGCTCATTGAGGCTTTACAGTCTTTCATCCAGCATTTCTGGGCTCCCTAATCTTGCTCTATTTTTTTTCTTTGTGTAGCCCCTCCCTGTCACTCTTTACATATTATATAATCTAAGTAATATTGTTTATTATGTGTCTCTCCAGCGGTTCATAAACCCTATGATGACAGAAATTTAAGTACTTTTTTACTTGCATTTTATAGGAACTCACTTGCTGATAAGTGAGTGAGTTAAATATTGGAATACATAATACAATATTTAAGTATCTTTGGTTACTTTCTCAAACCTTACATTTAAATCTCTTCTATTATATGTAATTTTGTCAGGCTGTTTAGTAAAAGTTTTGAGATGAGTTGCATATTTTGTGAGGTTTTTTTTTTTCCTCTCCCAGTTTGTAAATATTATGTCTCTTTCAGGGAGAAGCATCAGGGAAGCTTTCTGAAAATAGTAAAATACTAATTTCCATGGCTAAGGAAAACATACCACCAAACAGTCAACAGACCAAGGGTTCTTTAGGTATGTTATTAGATGTACTAAACTGCTATTAAGATATCTTTAGCAGGCCGTTGTGAATGAAGTTTGTCTTGTCAGAAGAAAAGGTTTCTTTGAAATTCTAGTGACTTTACTTTCTGGAATCTTACATTTGACAATATAGGTTGCATATGAAATATAACCTATACTGATAACCTTGTACCTATTTTATTGATGTATGGAAATCATAGTAGTAAGTATGTATAACATACCTAAAAATTAATTGGAAAAATCACAATGGAATTTGTGTGTATGTTTGTATGTATGTGTGTGTGAGAGAGAAGTTGAGGTGCTTGTTGAATAAAAATGGTAGGATTGTGATTTGAGGCCAGCTTGGCCAAAAAAAAAAAAATGTTAGCAAAGATCGCATCTCAAGAAAGAAGCTGGCATGGTGCAAATGCCTGTAATTCAGCTATATGGGAGGCTTAGGTAGTGTTGGAAATGCTGTTCTCAATTGATGATCAAAGAAATACTCAGGATTTGCTCAGCAAGGCAAAAAGAAAAGTTTTACTTCTGCAGAAGGGTGCAGCCACACACCAGAGTCTGATAGGCAGAACATACTGAGTGTGGAGTCAGCTCAGTTTTTACATCTCTGCCCCTCACCTTGATGGACTGGTTTCGGTTCATAATCTTTGTGATTGGTTACTTAAAAAAGGGGGCACATGGAGTAAGGGGGACCTTGAAGTAGGGAGAACAAGAAAATTCTTTTGGGTAATATTCATCTTTAAGTGAACAGCTTGAGATTAGGCTATCTGGCGATAAACAGCTCTTTAACTGCAAGAACCTTGCAAACTCAAGCAATGTTTTACAAAACATGTTGGCAGCAATTTGGGGAGGTTAGCTGGCATCCACACAGTGATAGTTTTACATTAACTCCTTTGACAGGAAAAAAGACCTTATTTTCAGTTGATTCTCATAATTCTCCCTCCCCCCTTTTAAAATTTACAGTTCTTTTCTTCAGACTTAGTATTAATTGACTTTTGATTAAGCTCAACCATCTAGTTGTCCCTATTCTTATCATAGTGGACATTTTAAGAGGGCCTCATTAGTCCATCCTGTCCTTCAGGCTTGTTATCTGTATTTTTGACTACTGCTTATTATTTTGGTGAGGCCAATTTTCTTTTATTTTGGGAGAGTTTGTTGTGCCTCAGCACCTGTGTGCGAAGCTGGTTTTTCATGTCCTTTTTAAATGTTTTGCTTTTAAGTATGTCTTTTTTGTCTCCTTTATCTAAAACAAAGTTAACTTTTGTTCTTTTTCCTGCTACATTTACATCCCCAGGGACATTTTTGTCGTTCATTTTTTTTTACATTTGTCTCCTTATATTCCCCCCATCTCCAGAGGTAACCCTGAATTCTGTCAGGAAAGGGGGTATTGACTCAAGGGGTCCCTGAACAGTCAGTCAGTGTCTTCCAGGATGTTGAAGGAGGTCTGTCAAGGAGTCCATGGTATCCGAAGGAGGTCTCCAGCATGTGTGGCTTTGTCTCTATCACCATCTGGAACTTGTGTCCAACCTTGATGAAACAAACTTGACAAGCAGATTAAGAGACCAGAGGCCAAGTAGAGGGAAGAACTAGGTTAGAGATGGTAGTCAAGATTTAATTTTTTTTGTTTTTGTACTTCTAGCAGGAGGTGTTGGCTATAATACATTTGTAAAAAAATATTTGAACCTGCGGTTTTTCTTGTCTACAGAATTACCGTGGCAACAACATATTATCAGAGTATATGTCCAAGAAAAACCCATTGTTTAAAAAAAAAAAAGCTAAAAATACCATCTTTACGTGTCAAAGGACATGTCTAGAGCCAGTAAAAATATTTTGTCTCTGTTTAAGTAGAAGACCCGGGCTAAAAATAGGAGTTTGTGCCTGGAAGGGCTTTAATGCCAGATAGCCACACATGCATAAGAACCATTTCTTCAGTCTTCTTGGCTTTGGTTATTTTTGAGAGGTCTGGCACCAGTGACTCCATTTGAACTTTGATGGCATTCCTCCCTTGTCTCCAAACTGCTTGTCTCTGAGCAGTCTCCTCTGAAGATCTTTCTCCCACCCTCTTCGTGAGGATTTTTTTTTTTTGAGTCTTGTGTGTGAAGGGGTGGGGGGGTAACAAGCAAATCAGGTGGAAGTCAGTGCCAACTAGACCCTTTTAGCCAAATTTAAGCTACAAAGAGGTTTAGAAGGAGTGGCTCTTAGGCAATGGACTTCTTCACAAGGACAGTACAAAATGAAATCCAATAAAAGCAGACATCCAAAAAGCTCACCTGGTTGACACATAAGTACTTATTAGAGTCATTTTCCATGGACTCGATTATAAATGCCTCAGAGGGATTAGAACTGTAATGACAAAAACTTAAAAGTGCCATGGTTAATTTTTTTTTCTTTTTTTGCACTATTGGGGCTTGAACTCAGGGCCTTCACCTTGAACCATTCCACCAATCCTATTTTTGTGAAGGAGTTTTCAAGATAGGGTCTTGGAAACTATTTGCCTGGGCTGGCTTTGAACTGCAGTCCTCCTGACCTCTGTCTCCTGAGTAGCTAGGATTATAGGCATGAGCCACTGGTGCCCAGCAAAATTTTGATGGATAATTTAGTAACTAACAGAACGGTATATCAGTACCATTAACTTCTTGTTACAGTGTTTATATAAACTTACTATTTTAGAAGGCTTGATATACTTGGAAAACCCAAATAAATATATAGGAGCCAGCAACAGCATCGCAGCTCTATAGAGATTATGTATACATATTAGTTTAGTTGTTACTCTTAAAGTGAAACCTTAGATTTTCCCATCAATTTGGGCTGGGTTACAGTGTCAGTGACCCCAAACAGCCCAGTCACAGACACATACAGGGTACTGACTACATTAGAATCATCTAAGACAATAGTTGTTTAATTATAATTATGAGGTCATCTAGAATATTTTACATAAACCAACTCTTAAATGAACTTTTATTTAGGTATGACTCAGTTACCTCAGTAGTCAAAACCTTGACAAAAACTAACAGTGAGCAAGTAAATATTTATGGAGACTAAGTATGGAGTTAGGAAACCTAATGGCCAAGAGTCATGGCTCAGATGTTAAGGGATAACATAGATAGTTAACATTAACAGATGGCTCATGACATACAGCAACATCCCACCAATCTTTAGTCAGTGGAGCCCCCCCCTAAAATAACAGGCCCAATCTGGCCATCCCTTAACCTTGATTGTGTCTATTTCCCCAGGAAAAGATCAGGGCTCCCCTCCCCCACCACGTACTGGAGGTTTCTTGCATTTTGCCTAAAGTGCTTTATTTTTCACCAAAGTCAGTACTTGTCAAACTCTTGTTGTCTTGATAAAATTCCCTTTGCCCGACATGTGGAAGGAGTAGGACTAATACCTCTTCTGTTGATTACAATAAAAACTGAAGGATTCAAGACCTCCAATGTAGTGCGCCTTTTGGAGTTTTCCCTTTATCATACTTGGAGTGTGCACTTTAGCATTTTTTTTTAAAACTTTGCTTTACATAAGTAAATCTGCCCCAACCTTCATTTTAGTACAGCAGCACATCCTGTGCTCAGCTGCCAATTGCCTTTCTGTGTTTTAATAAACTCTTGTTGTCTTGATAAATCTTTGGATTAACCTGTAGCACCAAAAATCCCTGACAGTTATCTTAACAAAACAAAAACGTTTTTTTAAGACAGTTTTTTTTTGTAAAAATGATAGTTTTACATTTACTCCTTTCTCAATCCAGATTGGCCTGGGCAAAAAATTGAAAGACCCTATCTGAAAAATAACTAAAGCAAAAAGGGGCTGGGGATATGGTTGAAGTGGTAGAGGCCCTGAGTTCAAACCCAATACATCCAAAAAAAAAAAAAAAAAAGTACAGTCATACTGATTTTTTGATTATGGTTTATTATGAGGTTGGTCTTGGAAACGTTTTACTTTTGGCTTGTTGGTAGATATATTTTTTTTTTTAAGGAAAATGTATGAATGTTTTAATATAAATTTTGTGAATCCTTGATGGTGACTGAAACTTTTTCACAAAAAGTAAGTTAAATATTCATTTGGTTCAAGCATTGTTCTAATCTGGACTATTTTTCTTTCCTGTTAACATTTTTAGTTTTTCAAAGTAACAGGAATTGTATACAAATGACAGACCCTGATTCTTTATTTTTATCTAAATAAAAGATAACTAAAGGTGAATTTTAAAGGAAAAAAAAAAGGTATGTACATAAGATCTTTCATCGTGTACTTGGAACCAGTAGTTGTGTTGCTGTCATAGAATCAGGAAACAGGTTGTGGTAAGTTAGAAGAGATATCATTTCACCTGCAAACCACCTGCCGTGCAATGCATTGAGAGCAGCAGTACCTGCAGCAATTGGCAGGCACTTCACGTACACATTGCCCCAAGTTGTAAACTCCTCCATGTTTATTACATGCTTTAGTCATATCATCCTTCATCTCTGTATACCTTCCAACTTCTGTTTGAGAGCTAAACATGTTAGACAGTTGGAAACACTGTGTTGCAGGTGGTTGAACAGAGGCAATTGCAGCTAAAGCAGAAGCTTCAGTCTGTTGGGAAAGTTGCACTTGCAAATCTATAACAAAAGAATTATCCCACAGCCAAAGAGCCACTCATTTGTAAAGCTTGTTGTGCTTCTGGTGGAATCTGCAAACCTGTAACCTTGCGAGTCTCACCATTAGTTGGAGATGACCAGTTATTCCCAAGTCAATTCCAGTCCTTCCCAATTCATTTCCTTCCTTCTTCCCTCCCTCCCTTCCTCCTTCATTTCTTTCCTTCTTCCCTTCCTCCCTCCCTTCTCCCCTCCCTCCCTTTCTCCCTTGAGCCACTCTACCAGCACTTTTTTTGTGATAGTTTTTTTTTTGAGAAAGGGTCTTGAGAACTGTTTGAACTTTGATCCTCCTGATCTCTGCCTTCAGAGTAGCTAGGATTATAGGTGTGAGCCACTGGCACCCGGCTGTGTTGGGTATTTTTGAAATGCCTTTAC